TCTGTGGTGGGTTGAATGGTGGCCCCCAAAAGATATATATATATATGGCGCCCTAACCCCTGGTACTTGTGAATGTTGATAACCTGAAAAGGGGTCTTTGCAGATATAACTTAGTTAAGAATCCTGAGATGAGTTCATCCTGGATTACCACTATGACCTCAGCTGAAGAACCAGTTTCCTTAGAAGATATAAAAGAGGGGAAGACACGAGCATCGAGAAGAAGGCCTTGTATCGACAGAGGCGGAAGTCCAGGTGATACGTCCTCAAGCCAAGGAATGCCTGGAGCCACCGGGAGCTGCAAGAGGCAAGGAAGGAGTCTCTCCTACAGCCTCCAGAGGGAGGAGCGTGGTCCTGCTGACACCTCGATTTGACTTCTAGCCTCTAGAACCATGAGGGAGCAAGCTTCCGTTGCATTAAGCCAGCAAGTTTGTGGTCACTTGTCAGGACAGCCCTCGGAAATGGATACAAATTGGCATTGTTGTTTCTGTTTACCACTGCAGATCTGGGTCTACTGTAAGTGTGATAAATTTCGTTACAATTTTATTACTGTTGGGTTCTGGGACAATGGTAACCTTGAATCGATTCTTCCTTTTAGGGGATTTATGATTTAAGCACATTCCATTCTATTTGAAGGACCCAGAGATAATTGCTGCCCATTTAGTGAAGAAGAAAGCCTGGAGGGAAGTTACAGAATTCCCAAAGGTCTGTATAGGAATCATCCTGGCTGGAAGAGTGTGGCCTATCATGCCCTTCACCAGTAAGTGCTTGACCTAGTGACCTTCACCGCTCAGCTAGCAACAGGCCCCCGGGATGTGATGTGGCTGCCATCACCCACGCTCCCAGAGTTGGGAACTTTGCCTGATGTCAGCTTGTGCCTTAAGTGAGACAATCTCTGGGTTTTCATTTCTGTTTGGCATTACGTGCTCCACTACAACTCCCTTTATTATTAACTTTGGCTTCCTTGGCTTACGTGAGGGATCCGTGGTGAATGAAAATGAAGTTAGTGCTAACCATGGTTCATTTCAATAACAACCCTCTAAAAATATATTGAACTTCTAAATTATTCATAGATCCAAAAGAACTCGAATATAGCTTTCAGGTGAAAAGCATTAACTGTGGATTCAGACAGACCTAGATTGGAATTCTAACTCAGCCTTTGGACCTTTAAGCAAGTTACTTAACCTGCTTAAGTGTCAGTGTCTTCACCTATGACACTGAATCTCACTTCCTAGAGTTACTGTGGGGATTGAAAGAGAGAATGTAAAGGTTTTACTAAGCCTGCTGATTGGCACATAGGCTGCTAGGAAGGATCCACCATTTATATGCGCGGTCTTACCATTTCAGACCAGTTTCAATTTTTTCCACTGCTTTACCCCACCCCAGGTTCTAAGGCTTTCCTTTTTTTAAAAAAAATTTAGGTGGACAAAACATAGGCACTGTAGGGTTAATTCGGGCCTCTCTTATGAGCTATTTATTAAATGTTTCTTCGTGGTCTAAAATTAGCATCTAATTTGAATACTTACCTTGCTGCTGTTTTATGTTTCCTGCGTGGGAAATGTCAAGTGAGGTGGCTGTGAAATACTACTGACTAGGATATTGAACATGTGACAGTTTTAATGACCGTAGTTAAAAAAATACAACCGGCATATGGGATCATTAAATTATTGATGATGTTTTGCTGCAGTGGATTTATAAATAATACATGTTTAAAGTGTTATTTCCTTTACATTTCTTTAGGGACAACTGAAGAGTCTTCTTGTTTTGAGTTTAAAGTGAACTGACAGTTGGAGAAAGGTCAATAAAATGTTCATCCGTACAGTTTCTATGCCAAAAACCTCTCGGACTTTGAATAAGCATGTAACCAATTTTATAGAACTTTATCAAATAGTCGCCCTGTTTTTAGAGTGAATGAAGCAATGACTTTAATTTAGCAACTGGAGGGGTGCTTAAAATAATATTAATAATTAAAAGTTTCATATTAAGCAGTATCACTGTTTCTCCCCCCACCTCAGAAAAACCTCCAAATTCAAGTTAGTGTCTATAGGGGCACCTGGGTGGCTCAGTTGGTTAAGTGTCTGACTTTGGCTCAGGTCATGATCTCACAGCTCGTGCCTTTGAGTCCTGCATCGGGCTTTGTGCTGACAGCCAGCTCAGAGCCTGGTGCCTGTTTCTGATTCTGTATGTGTCTCCCTCTGTCTCTGATCCTCCCCTGTTCACGCTGTCTCTCTCTCTCTCTCTCTCTCTCAAAAATAAATTAAACATTAAGAAAATTTTTTGAAGTTAGCATCTACAGATAAAAACAAAAAAGGAACTGGGGGTGCTTGGATGGCTCAGTGGGTTAAGCATCCAACTCTGGATCTCAGCTCAGGTCTTGATCTCAGGGTTGTGAGTTCAAGCCCTGAGATGGGCTCCATACCCCACTCCCTCCCTCCAAATAAAGGGAACTCAACAATTAGTCTCTGAAGCTTATCAATTTCCTGACACATTAGCTCTTTAGAATGTTATTTTAAAAAGGGATGAAGGGGGTTCATGGGACCCGAAAGTGGGAAAACTATAAAGCCAGCCATGGTTATCTCCTCCCCAGGGTTGGGAATCCCTAGGAATTAGATGTCAAATTGTATTTGATATACATAGGATATGGGGGAGAGGCATAGGACCCATAGTTTTCATCAGATTTATGGCCTTGAAAAAAAGTTCCATTGCTTCTTCCTTTTTCCTTTTGGAAGAGGCTAAGAGGAATGAAGGGGTGAGAGTGGGGAGGGCAAGACAGGACTCTTCCCATGTTGGTTAACCCCTCAGTCAGCCCTTCCACCACCAAAAACCATGAGTGGCATTAAACTTCTGGTTGGTTCAAGAACGCAGCTAAACTAAATACTGGAATATGAACTTGCAATGGTAACCGGCAGCAGCAGGAAAAGATAAAATGTCTTTAACTCTTGTTTCTTGAAATAAATTTTTAAAAAAATTGGGGGGGCTCCTGGGTGGCCAGTTGGTGGAGCGTCTGGCTCTTAGTTTTGGTTTGGGTCATAATCCCAGGGTTATGGGATTGAGCCCTACATCGGGCTCCATGCTGAGTATGGAGCCTGCTTAAGGTTCTCTCTTTCCCTCTGTCCCTCTCTACCTCTTATGCTTTTTCTAAAGCATTCTACACATTCTGCTTTTTCTAAAAAAATTTTTTTGGTGGGAAAATTTGCTTCTTTTCTTCTGTGTATTTGGGTTTAAAAATTTTTTAATGTTTTATTTATTTCTGAGGGAGAGAGACAGCATGAGCAGGGGAGGGTCAGAGAGAGAGGGAGACACAGAACCTGAAACAGGCTCCAGGCTCTGAGCTAGCTGTCAGCATAGAGCCTGATGCAAACCCACGAACTGCGAGATCATGACCTGAGCTGAAGTCGGATGCTTAACTGACTTAGCCACCCAGGTGCCTCCTGTGTATTTGGTTTTAATTTTTATCCCTGGAATTTTCAGAAAGAGTTGGAAACAGGGGGCAAATCCATAACTGAATTATGAAACTTAAGAATTTTTCTGAAGATGAAGGGATAGTATAAATATTTTCTTTGAATAGGAGAATGTATAATTCTATATAAGCATTTAAAATACAGCATATTTTTCCTACAAATTCAGGCCCAAGAGTTACTTAATTTTGTTCATCTGTTTGTAGTGGTGAGAGAGCAAGAGGGGCACCTGGCTGGCTCAGGAGGCAGTGTGTGACTCTTGATCTCAGGGTCCTGGGTTTGAGCCCCATGTTGGGTGCAGAGATTACTTAAATAAATAAACAAGTTTTAAAGTAAGAATTACATGAAAAAATGAATGGGGAGAGAATAAATGATTTATATTACTGAATTTGATCACACTTTTCTGACGACAGAGCTAAGGAGTTTAAGTAACTTGTCCAAACATCCCCCAAGTATCAGTGTCAGAATCTAAATCCAGGTCTGTTTGACTCCAAAGTCCAATGTCTTCCTTCTGTTCTTCACCTCCAGCGAGGCTCTTTGTGTCCTTCCCTCATAAGGTCCCTGGTCCTCCCACTCTGCACCTGGGGACAGGCATCCCAATGGGAGGCTCGAACTCACAACCCTGAGATCAAGAGTCACATGCTCTACGAACTGAGCCAGCCACATACCCGTCTCTTAGCACATTTAAAATATACACTAACTATAGTCACCTTGCTGCACATTAGATCACCAGAACTGATTTAATCTTATAGCTGGAAGTTTGTATCCACCATTCTACTCTCTGCTTCTAGGAGTTTGACTTTTTTAGATTCCTCACATATGTGAGATCCTACACTATGTGGCTTTCTCTGTCTGGCTTATTTCACTTAGCACACCATCCTTTGGATTCATCCACGTTGTCTCAGGTGGCAGGATTTCTCATGACTGAACAATATTCCACACATACACGCACATGTATACACCGCATCTTTGTCCATTCATCCATTGACGGACACTTAAGTTGTTTCCATACTGCAGTTATTGTGAATAATGCAGCAATGAACATAGAAGTGCAGATCTCTCTTTAAAATTTTTTTTAAGTTTATTTATTCCAAGAGAGAAAGCACAAGCAGGGGAGAGGCAGAGAGAGAGAGAGAGAGAGAGAGAATCCCAAGTAGGCCCCACATTGTCAGCAGGGAGCCGGGTTCGGACTGGAACATTTGAACCTTGAGATCATGACCTGAGCTGAAATCAAGAGTCAGACACCTAACCAACTGAACCACCCAGGTGCCCCCAGATATCTCTCTGAGATACTGATTTCCTTTGGATAAATACCCAGAAGTGAAATTGCTGTATTATAGGGTAGTTTATTATTTATTATTTGTTTTTATTATTTTAATATATTAAAAAAGACCCAACCACCATCACCATATAGATTTCATTTAACATTTCCCCTGATCTAAAGAGAAAGATGTCAAAAAGAAAACCTAGACTGTACACATAAGCAAGCACCCCCCACCCCTTGAGCCCTGAAAACCTAGAAGAAAAAATAACACAAAGTTGTGTTCAACAGATAAATTTAACTTGTTTCTGGAAGATGTTTCCACACCCCATTCTACATCCTCTTCCTTTTGAAGCCACTTGGGCCTTCAGAATAGCAGCCTTTCCCCGGCCAGCCCCTGAGCCGTGGCATTTATTCTTCATGCTCTTTAACACGGGCATGTTTGTCAGCATGTCAGGCAAAGTGAGAAAGCAGATCTGGCTGTCACCGATGTACACCTGCTCCAGCTGTGCCACTGGGCCTTCCCTCTATGGGACCGTGATGTCGGACATCTAGCAGTTTATGTTGTCCTCCCCTCCACCGAGCTTCCCACGATACGTCTCGCCAGCGTTGGTCTCACCAATCATGATGTGACCCCCATCCTCATGTAGGACTTCAATCGGCACACGACAGACATCTAGGCAGGAAGAGAGTTCTCACTGGCTCTCGCATAATATTCCTCTCGGGTGCAGAGGCAATTCTGGGGGCTGTGAAGGCGTGAGCCAAGCGAATGACGGGGCCTGTGCGCCTGGTCGTTCTCATTGCAAGTTTCTGAGGGACCCCCCCCATACTGTTTTCCATAGCACCTGCACCAGTTTACACTCCCACCAATGGTGTACAAGGGTTTCCTTTTCTCTACACCCTCACCAACACTTTTTATCTCGGGTCCTTTTGACAATAACCATCCCGATCGGTGTGAGGTAATATCATATTGTGGTTGATTTGCATTTCCCCGATGATCCGTGACTCCCTTTCAGCATACCTGTTGGCCATATGTATGTCTTCTTTGGGACATACGTATGCCTACACAGGTCTGTTGCCCATTTTCCAATTGGACTTTTTTGGATACTGAGTTCCTTATATATTTTGGATATTAATTCCTTGTCAGACATTTAGCTGCAAATATTTTCTCCCATTCTGCGATTGCCCTTTCATTTTGTTGTGCGTCTAACGTCTCTTTAACCAACACCAAAATCTTACCAGAACCCTCTTGACATTGAACTAAAAGAAGCAAGAAGAAACTTCTAGGAACACCAGTTGATGACAAGGATGTTTAAATAAATACGGGGCTGTCCAGGTGGCATCCTGTGTTCGATACTCATTCTTCTCGTTCTGACACTTAATCTCTGGTCCTGGATGGTGATTACTGACCTCGGAAAGACAAGGCACTAGAAGCCCTGGAGTCCGCCAAAACCAGATGAGTGCTGTTCTGTCTAAACCACACTTACCACGACAGGAAAGGAGACTCATATTTTAGACAGTTTTCTAATAACAAGGGTAAGCCTTGATTTACTAGACAACTCAGTGAATCAGACGCTGATTGGGACCTAGCACATGCTTTACCTGTACTTGGAGCTCAGTAAATGGGTGTTCTTTCCCCCAAGGATGACTGCGGAGACCGTGCTCCAGTAAGATCGAAGGCAGGCAGTGTTTTCCGTCCTCTCTCCGTTTTGCCTGCCTCGCGTTCTCTCACTGCTTTTCTTCACCGTTCTTGCACGAAAGAGATCTAAGGTGACAGGAAAAGTGATGATTCATCTGACATCAGATTGAGTCCTTTTCATTTGCCCTTTTGTTGGCTTCAGTCTCTGATATTGGGAACATCCGTGTTAGGTTTGTGAATGTTTTTACTTCACAGCAGACACGCGCGGATTGCAGTGGGACTCGGATGGTTTAAAGGTCTGATGCGTGTGGCTCTCTGATTGCTCTTTGTTTTCCAGAATCCTTTGGCCAGAAAAAGAAATCAAAGTGGGTTTTAATCATGCTGACCAGCAAGGGCGAGGGATTCCTTCACTTCGGTTTGTGTCTCTGGTTGTGTATGTTCATGTCCTTCTTTAAAGGTAGGTTTTATTTCTGCTTTATCTCATTTTCTCTTTTCAGCTACATGTATTTATTCTTCTTTCCTAGTTGTGCTTGACTGAGCAGAGATGAAATATTCTTTGTGTAAATATGTAGAGGGTCTGTACAGGAATTACTGCTGTTACAGCTGTTAATTAACCCATTTCTTATGGGCTAGATTTAACACTGAACACGAGATTTGGGGGGTGGCGTGGGGAAGACAATGAAACATTGTAAACCATATCTTATTTTATCGTTCCAATAAAAATATGGTAATAATAGTGAGGATGCAGTTTTCTATCCATCTCTGCTATGGATGTATTCAACCGATTTATTTCTATTTGTATTTAATATTTTTTACAACTGGGATTTGTTTGTTAGCTGAGACTTAGTCCATGAACCATTTTGAAGGGAATCATCTTGTTTTGGGATACGGTCATATTACTATGCAGGAATGTGTCCTAAGAGTAGATCATTCATTTTAAAAGTTAAGACTTGGAAACAGGCAAGGGCTGTTCTGCTGAAGAAACCCACATCCGCATGTTGGCTTTGCAGGGGAGTTAATCTTCAAGATCCACAGAAGGTTTATCTACACTGTCTCAAAGAGGGGGAAATGGTAATGGAGTAATGGAGAGGGAATTTTTGGTCTGTTTTATGTAGAAATATTTGTACTATTATTAATTACGGAGGCAGGAGTACTGTCTCATATTTAAAATTGTTCTTTCCTGCTGAATCTCAGAGTTTCAGTGTTTCCAAGTGCATTTGTCAAACGACTCTTTATTTAGTAATATAACAGCTCTCCTTTGATATCCTTTTTTGCTGAATGAGTGTTCAGTGCCTATGATGTTCTTTCTTTCAGGGTTTAAATCCTTTTAGGAAATTTGTAGAATTGTTTTTCCGGTGTCAAATTTGGGTTCTGTAAGGGAAATCTAGAGGGGTGTTAATGAAATGAATAATGTCAAAATGAAGGCAAGTAACCTGATTTCAATGCATTCTTGGAAAAACAGACATTCACATTTAACTGTCTAAAATTCAGTGACTGAAAACACTTATTTAAGAACGAATGCTGAATTCTTTTAAAACCAATTAAGCAAGTTGGCCTTAAACACCTTGCACTTGACACAAATCTCCAAAATAATGGGATTCAAATCTGATTTTAAGAAGCAGTATGGCTTGCTAAGGTCTTTATAAACTTACTAGTTATTTCAGTTTGCGTGGTGAAGGTCTCCCAGCTAAACACCTTGCCTTTGTAGAAACAGGTGGTTGGATCAGCATTTTTGACCAGAAACGGCAGGACTCTTCCTTAAAAACCAGATCAGTAAGGTCTTGAGTTACCTTCAATGACATAAGCAAAAACTGGAGCCCATGCTATCCCTTTGTATTTGTGGGGCATCAGACTTGCAAAGGTGCTCTGACCAATAGTATTTTATTTGATATCACACTAGATCTGGGATGTAGGCATTATTCACTTTATCTTCAGGGCTCTGAGAGGCTAGGGACAATGGGCACCAGGGGAAGCCTGTGAGGGTGGACAGAACACAGGGGCGGGAGCGTTCAGTTGGCTGGGACACCCCAGTGCCCATGCTGCCGGGCAACGGGGGGGGCATAACCTCCCCATCTGCGGACACCCTCTCGGCCTTTCTAACTCTTCCCTCTGCTTGGCCATGCAGGCTCTGCAGGCTGTGCATCTGAAGAGAGGCTCTTTCACAAACTGTTTTCTCATTATAACCAGTTCATCAGGCCTGTGGAAAACGTTTCTGATCCCGTCACGGTGCATTTTGAAGTGGCCATCACACAGCTGGCCAATGTGGTAAGTGCCACCAGGTCACCAGTGTCCCTGGAGGACCCTTGACTCGGGGCGAGGGGCGCGGGCAAGCATTTCCCAAACATTGTCCCAGTTATTGCACATGCGAAATATAGAAAATTTAAACTACGAACAAACACACATCTACATAAGTGTTGGCTCTTCAAAGCCCCCCTGTAGGGAAGAAGACAGCATCCCCATTGATGCTGTAATTATTCACGTCCCTGGCAGTGTCTTTCTGGAAGTGCTTTCAGAACCACGTTATGAAACAGAGAGGTGAAGGGGAAGTTGAGGGAGAATACAGAGGGAGCTAACTTTATGGTGCACCTATTATGCGCCCGTCACTGTGTCTACACTTAGTGGCTGTCATCTGCTTTTCACAGCTGGAGGGAAGCTCGGGTAAGCAATGTTCCCAAGGTCATCCAATTATAAAAGGGTGGAACTGAAATCTTAATTGGGCCTGCCCAACTCCAAAGCTCATGTTCTTTTTACTCTCTAGAAAAGGAACTGCTTTAGGTCTTCTACGTTATGCAAGAAAGAAAAAAATCACCTTCTTTCATATAGAGTTCCATCCAGCTCCGAGAAAACAGATGGCAATTTGGGGCTCTTAAATTTATTGCTACTATGTTCACGGACAAGTAGGACTCCAGTTCTTTCCTTTGAATAATCTTCATGCCCTAGTTCCCGGGAGAGGAGGTACTGGGGCCTGGTATTATAACAGAGAGCAGAGTTTTGGGCTCCCAAGCGTAGGAGGGGATAGAGCTGGCTTGCCGACCAAATTCCAGGAATAGGCAGGCTCAGGAAGTAGGGGGAGGCTACAGCATCTCCAGAGAAGGATTTTAGATAGAACTCCTGAGACAACCATGCAGTACAAAGGAGCCCCTTTCATCTGATTGGTCCCAGCCTATGCACAGGGAAGGAGCCCTCTGTCTTCCCAGATCTGCCCTGTGGGAAACAGGGGTGGCTCTTCAGGAAAGACCTTAATTACAGATGTGAAGTCAAGGCTCACCATGTTTCTCCAGTCCATGTGTCCTGGAGGACTAGGCTGACCCTGGCCCGGTCCTCTAGCTTCTGGCCCAGATTGGAAGTATGTATATACTGGTACATATATATTGGTTAAAAAAAAAAAAAAAAAAGCCATATGTTTCCTTTTGCCTAGATGGATATACTCATTTCTTTAAAAAATATTTATTTGGGGCCCCTGGGTGGCTTAGTCGGTTAAGCGTCCGACTTTCGCTTAGGTCATGATCTCACGGTTCGTGGGTTCGAGCCCCGCATCGGGCTCTGTGCTGACTGCCAGCTCAGAGCCTGGAGCTGTTTCAGTCTGTGACTCCCTCTCTCTCTGACCCTCCCCTGCTCACACTGTCTCTCTTTCTCTCCTAGAAATAAATAAAAAACATTTAAAAAAAAAAATAAAAAATATTTATTTGGTACCCAATCTGATCCCCTTCACCCCCAAATAATATTGTACTGTTTACTGGTCTCCTACTGGGCTGGGAGCCATAATTTGCTGTGGATTGTTATAAACTAAGTTTCACCTAAAGTCAACCTGTTTCACTAGACAGCATCTCTTCAAATTCCGGGTTGATACACCCATTCAGGACATTGTTCTGAGGATGGTGTGTGGAGAGGGTGGAATACAGATTTTGACATTTGCATTTGGTTGTTTTCAGAGATTTTTTAAAACAACATGGCTTAAATAAAACAAGTTGATTTCTTTATTATGTAACAGAAATTTAAAAGTTAGAAGTTTAGGTTAATGCCAGGTGGCTTTGTGGTGTTGGTGGTTGTACCACTGTGCTCAGTTGCCTACGTTGGGCACTGCACAACTCCAGGGGATGCCAATCATATGGACCACAATGCTAAAAGCATAAACCATACATGGTGACAGTGAGAAAGTTTCCTATCTTTCTATTTCACCATATGGTTTCTTCCCTTAGTGTTGCATTATCGTCCATGGTAACTGCTGATTTTCCCTTATGATGTTCACATCCTTCGTAAGAAGCGGGAGGAAGGGAGAAGGGCACATAACAGACATCTGTGGCTTCCTTAAGGAATTTTCTTAAAAGTCCTAGTATCTTCTGCTTCCTGTATCATTGACAGCCTCTTAGCTGTAAGGAAGACTTGGGAAATGTAGTTTTTTTTTTTAAGTTGAATTTTTATTTATTGAAATAATTGTAGATTCATATGCAGTTGTAGGAAATAATAGGAATATCCCACTTTGCCCAGTTTCCCAGACTACTAATATGTCTTCCATTTCTAAAATGTTGTCATTTCAAGAAAGTTATATAAAAATGATACAGTATGTAACCTTGTGGGATTGTCTTTTCCACTCAGCATAATTAAAAAAAATTTTTTTTAACGTTTGTTTTGAGAGAGAGAGAGAGTGTGCGTGTACGTGAGAGGCAGCATGTGTGCACGAGTTGGGAAGGGGCAGAGAGAAAGGGACAGAGGATCTGTGTTGAGAGCCCAATGTGGGGCTTGAATTCATGAAAAGTAGAATCATGACCTGAGCCAAAGTCAGAAGCTTAAATGACTGAGCTACCCAGGTGCCACAACTCAGCATAATTTTCTAGACTCATCCCAGTTGTTGGTTATATCAATAGTTCATTTCTTCCTGATGCTGAGTAGTATTCCATGGTATTTATGTGCCGCAGTTTATTTACTTTTCCTTGGTTTAAGAACATTTGTGTTGATACCAGTTTTGTTCTGTTACAAAGTGCTATGAACATTTGGGTACAGGTTTTTGTGAGAATGTAAATCTTTATTTTCCTGGGATAAATCCCCAGGTGTTCAATTGCTGGGTCATATGGTAGTTGTGTGTTTAATTTTTTAAGAAACTGCCAAAATGCTTTCCAGAGTGAATGTAACATTTTACATTCCTATCAACAACATATAAGTGATCTGGTTGATCTACATCTTCACCACTATTTGGCGTTGTCGCTATTTTTTATGTTAGCCATTCCATTTGGTATATAACGATATCTCCATTGTAATTTTAATATGCATTTTACTAATGGCTCATCATATAGAACATCTTTTCATATGCTTATTTGCCATCTGTATATCCTCTTTGGTAAAATGTTTGTTCATGTTTTTGTGCCCATTTTCTAATTGGATTGTTTGATTTTTTTTTTTTAATTGTTCAGTGTTGAGAGTTCTTGCTATATTCTAGATACTGATGCTTTGCCAGATATGTGGTTTGCAAATATAGTGGACCCTTGGGTAAGGCAGGGGTTAGGGACGTTGGCCTCCAGCCGAGTAAAAATTCTGCATGTGACTTTTGACTCTCCCAAAACTTAACTACTAATAGCCTCTGTTGAACAGAAGCCTTACTGATAACATCAACAGTCAGCACACATTTTGTATGTTACGTGTGTTATACTCTGTATTCTTACAATATAATAAGAGAAAATAAAATGTCATTAAGAAAATCATAAGGAAGGGAAAATACATTTACAGCACCGTAGTGTAAAAAGTTCTACGTGTAAGTGGACTCACACAGCTCAAAGCTGTGTGTTCAAGGGTCAGCTGCGTTTTTATCCTAGTTTGTAGCTTCTCTTTTCATCTTTTTCACATGGACTTTAACACAAACTTTTCAGTTTTGATGAGATCCAATTTGTCGCTTTTTCCTTTTATGTGTTGTGCTTTTGGTGGTAAGCCTAGGAATTCCTTGCTTTTATTGCAGATCCTAGAGATTTTCTCAGATTTTTTTTTTCTAAAAGTTTTACTGATGTTTTACATTTAAAGCTATGACCCATTTTGAGTTAATTTTTGTATAAAATGTGAGACTTGGGCATTTTTCTTTTTTGGTCTATGGTTGTCTCATTGCTCCAATACCATTAGTTGAAAAGGCTACCCTTTTTTCACGGGACTGGTTGTGCATCATTGTGAAAAATTGGTTGAGCATATTTATGTGGGTCTGTTTCCTGGACCTCTATTCTATTCCGTTGATCTATGTGACTAACCCTCCACCAATATTGCACAGTCTTGATTACTGTAGCTATATAGTAAGTCTTAGTGTTGGCCAGAGTGATCCTGCCACCTTATTCTTCTTTGTCAAAATTATATTCACTGTTCTGGGGACTATGCCTTAGAATAAGCTGCCTATGTATACAAAGAGGCTTGCTGGGATTTTGAAAGGAACTGCATTACATCTATAGATCAATTTGAGGAAAAATGTCTTTGCTATGTTAAGTCTTCCTATCCATGAATTCCAGATATTTCTCCATTTATTTAGCTCTTTTTTCATCAGCATTTTGTAATTTTCAGCATGCAGATCCTGTCCATGTATTATTATCTGTATATTTGTTTTATTGTCCACGTATTTTGTTTTATTTGAGACAACTGAAAATAATATTGTACTTTTAATTTTGGTTTCTCCATGTTCATCATTGGTACATAGAAATTCAATTGTTTTTTTAGATGTTGATCTTGTGTTCTGAGATCTTGCTGAAATCACTTATTAGTTTCAGTATTTTTATAGATTCCATGGGATTTTCTATGCAGGCAACCATGTCATACGCAAACAGAGATGGGTTTATTTCTTCCTTTCTGACTTATGCCGTTTTTCCTTTTTCTTGCCCTATTACATAGAATTGACTAGAATTATCAGTACTATGTTGAATAAGAGTGGTGACAGTCGACACCTTTGCCTTGTTCCCATTCTTAAGGAAAATTGTTTAGTCTTTCACCATTTAATATAATGATAGCTCTAAGCATTTTATAGAGATTTTCAAGTTGAGAAAGTTCTCCTTGATTAGTGAGTTTTCAGATCATTCCTGATATTGATGAGTTGTGTTTTCTGTTTTTATTTTTGTCAATCTTGAGACAAGTTTATCAGTTTTATTGGTTCCCCACCAAAAGATTTGCTTTTTGTTTCCTTGATTTTCTCTATTGTCTTCCTTTTCAATTTTATTGATTTCTACTCTTTTTAAAAAATTGTATTTATTTATTTATTGAAGTAATCTCTACACCCAACGTAGAGCTCAAATTCATGACCTGGAGGTCAAGAGTTGCACGCTCCAATGGCTAACCCAGTCAGGTGCCCCATGATTTCTACTCCTATCTTTATTTTTCCTTCCTTAAGTTTGGCTTGGGCTCATTTTGTGCTTCTTTTCCTAATTTCTTGAAGTAAGAACTTGGATTATTGATTTAAGACCTTTCTTCATTTCTAATGTAAGCATATAATGCTATAATTTTATTTTCAGCATTGTTTTTACCTATGACCTTTTGCTTTGATATGTTGTGTTTTCATTTTCATTCAGTTCTATGTATTTTCAAAAATCTCCTTTGAGGGGCGCCTGGGTGGCTTAGTCGGTTAAGTGTCCAACTTTCGCTTAGGTCATGATCTCACGGTTCGTGGGTTCGAGCCCCACGTCGGGCTCTGTGGTGACTGCCAGCTCAGAGTCTGGAGCCTATTTCGGAGTCTGTATCTCCCTCTCTCTCTGACCCTCCCCTGCTCACGCTGTCTCTCTCTCTCTCTCTCCCTCCTAGAAATAAACAAAAAAATTTTTTAAAAAATCTCCTTTGAAATCTAAACCCACTTTGATCTTTGACCCATGGATCATTTAGAAATGTGTTGTTTAATTCCTGAGGGTTTAGAGATTTTTCTGTTGTCTTTTTGTTATTGATTTCTAGTTTGATTCCATTATAGTCAGAAAACACACTATATGATTTCAGTTCTTTTAAATTTGATGAGGTTTGTTTTATGGCACGGTAAGAATACGGTTTATCTTGGTTAATATTCCATGCATTCTTGAGATAGATGTGTATTCTGCTGTTTTGAGTGCAGTGTTCTATATATGTCAATTGGATCCTGTTGATTATGTTCTTCAGATCTTTTATATATTGCTGATTTCCTCTCTAGTGGTTTTATTGGTTGCTGAGCAGGGTGGTGTTGAAGTCTGTAACTATGTTTGGGGGTTTGTTCCTTCTTTCAGTTTTATCAATTTTTGTTTCATGTAATTTGAGACTACTGTTTGGTGTGTGTACAGTTAGTGTAAGAGTATGTCTGCTGTCCCCACAACAGGGATCCAAGACAAAGTCCCTGTGTAGTGTTTTGGTGGCCTCACTATCTGAAGTGACTAACCTAAAGACCTGTAAAGTGTAGCCCACCTGGCCTTTCTGATCCCAATCTCTGCTGCTCCAGAAGCTAGTCCTTTTCAAATTGCAACTCCAGTCCTTTAATATAGGCAGGGTGTTAACTAATTTGTTTTTTCTCAAGAAAGAGAAACAGGGCAAAAGTCCCAAGAATGTGGAGTGGTATTTTGGGTCTCTCCTTCCTCCAGCTGGGCTCTCTGATGGTAGTGCCCATGACTATCAGTGTGGTATGGAATTGCATGCAGAATAAGACTTGTCAGATCAAGTCCTGGTCCATAAAGTTGGCTGACACCTCTAAGAATGTCCACACCACACTGAGCCTCACCAGATGGTGGAAGTGTTGGGGAAAAAGAGAGGTACTGATAGGATGATGCCAACAGATTTTAATTCTTGGAGTACTAGTTCCGTGTACACTAGTTCTATGAACACAGAATACAGAGAGGATGCATAAGACTGCATAGGCAGTCCATTCTTGATTGACTGCCAAGAGATTTATTGACATGGCTCCTTCTGGAATCTATAGGTCACAGCATGATCCTCTCATGAGCAAAAGGCAATTACCTTGGGCTTGGGTAATTGTAAAACCATGGACTGCTTGGCCAATGGATAAGTATGGTCCATTTATTTATTTATTTATTTTTGCTTTTCCTCACTAATAGGAAACCATGACTTTAACTCCTTTCTTTTGTTGACCTTTTAAAACCCTGGGGCTTACCATGACTCGACACACATTTGAAGAAGGAAGCTTGACAGAGAAGCTCAGTGAAAAGGAGCAGTTTAGTGTCAGTCCACGACTCTGTCAACCACAGTTGGGTTCATTTACTCTGAGGGTGTCCATGTATATTATAAAGCAAGATTGGTAAGTTTTGGGAACACACTGCTGGCCACTGGGAACACCCAACAGCTCCCAAGCTGCTGTGTTGTAAGGTTGCTGAAGGTTCTGGAGTGTCTTCAGTAGTTTTTCCATTGAAGGCTGGTAGCTGCTTAGGAACACATTGTATTTGGAATATTGGCCTGAAATGTTTTTCTTCCAGATAGTTACATGACTCTCTTTAGTCATTTAGGTTCCTGCTTAAACCTCCTCAGAGAAGCCTTCTTTGATCATTCTGTCTAAAAAAGATGTGTTGCGTGTATGTATGTATGCATGCACACACCACTTTATCCCTCTTTATTTTTCTTCGTAGGACTTATAACTATCATACATTATAATATGTATCTATTATTTATTTTTTTGTGTCTCAAGTTAACAGTTTAAACACATGAAGGTAGAAGTTTTTTCCATCCTGTTTACTGCTATATTCCCAGAATGTATAGAGCATATAGTAGGTACTCAATAAATATTTGAATAATGAATGATTGAAGCAATCAGCATGGCTTAGATGAGAGTTGAGATGTGTTAAAGTGGAATGGCAGGTTCCTGCTGGAAAACTCCATGGTGAACAGAGGCTGACATTTCAAGAGGCAACAGGGCTCAGGACTCAGAGCCTAGAGAGGGCTGAGCACAGTTGAGGAGGGAGGTTTTCAAGGACTGAGGAAGACAGTAAAAACAATGAATCAGGTTCTGATACCTATCACCATCTGAAGTACTTTCCTTGCCTCCTTCCCACTGTCTCTTCTCTTCCTCCTTTCTTTCATGGAATCAGAAACCTTTAATGGGCTGCGGTGATCAGAAAGGCTTCACAGAAGACGTGAGACTTAATTAAGATTTTAAGATTTGTTTTATTACTTTTTTTTAATGTTTTATTTATTTCTAGGAGAGAGAGAGAGACAGCGTGAGCAGGGGAGGGTCAGAGAGAGAGGGAGTCACAGACTGAAACAGGCTCCAGGCTCCGAGCTGGCAGTCAGCACAGAGCCTGACGCGGGGCTCGAACCCACGAACCGCGAGATCATGACCTAAGCGAAAGTCGGACGCTTAACCGACTAAGCCACCCAGGCGCCCCAAGACTTAATTAAGATTTGAAAGACTTTCCTTAAGCCACATTTCCTTCCAAAGTCAACAGAGTTGGAACCAGATGTGAAAATACATTTCTGATTGCATTTTATAAGTTGCCTCTTTAGCTTTCTTTGTTTTCCTCTCTTAGTATGAATAACTCAGAATTGGCACTCTTTTGTTGTAATTCTTGTTCTAAGAGCAACCTTTATTAGCAAGTTCATTTAAGGCTAAAAATATTATTTCTTCTTCCCAGGATGAAGTAAACCAGATCATGGAAACTAATCTGTGGCTACGTCACGTATGTGTCTGCATCGCATGTCATTTTGGACCTGTCTTACTTGTGTGTCAGCCTAACAATGGATAATGGATAAATTCCACTAAAATTCCCTCTTTTTATCTCCAGCTTGTGACAGAGCATAAAATACTATCTTTCTCCAAAGCCTAGAGTTCATCTCTGGGGACAGCTGCTTGATGCAAACTTCACAGGTGCAAAAACATAGTGATAAAGTTCTCTGGAACATGGAGAGTTGTCCCTTCCAATTTCTGCCCTCAAGTATCCTATTTTTATCTGTAACTTGAGCCCCAGAGTCAGATGCTTGCCCACTCTTTGATCCTGCACCAGGCCTAGGGAGGTAAGGACGTGAGCACAAGAACATGTGGGTTAGAGTTCCATCAGCTATTTTTATCAGTTATACCATTTCATGCTTCCTTCGTGTCTTAATTTTTTACACAGATTTATAATAAACTCACTATCGTACACTTGAAGTATCTTTTTGATATTAGAAATGAGTTGCTACTCCAGTGTGAATACAGTCTATGGAACATGGAGGTCGAGTCTATAACCTTGGCCAGCTAATTAATAATCAATAGTTAAGTGTCTAATGTCAGATGATTTATATTTGCCAAAATCAGCTCAGCTGCCTGGCCCCTTATTCCACATGGATTTAGTCTCCTAACTTTTGATAGAAACCAATGTACTCTTTTTTTTTTTTTTTTTTTAAGTAGGCTCCAAGCCCAACATGGGGTTGAACTCACGACCCTGAGATCAAGAGTCACATGCTCTATCAACTGAGTCAACCAGGTGCCCTCCAATGTACTCTTTAAACAAGAACTTATTATTTCCAAAAAACTGCCGGACCAACATAGAATTAACATTGGAAGAAAACTACTTGTAAGTTACTAAGAATTTTTTATTCAACTGACTTCTATTGCCTTTAGATATGGAACGATTATAAATTGCGCTGGGACCCAATGGAATATGATGGCATTGAGACTCTTCGTGTTCCTGCGGATAAGATCTGGAAGCCTGACATTGTTCTCTACAACAAGTATGGGTTCTGACAACAGTAGTCTCTTTCCAAAGTTGCCTTTGGTACATGCTGACCCAGACAAGGGGGTGTTAACTAACGGTGTCTGTTCTACTTCTCAGTGCTGTCGGTGACTTCCAAGTTGAAGGCAAGACAAAAGCTCTTCTTAAATATGATGGCATGATAACCTGGACTCCACCAGCTATTTTCAAGAGTTCCTGTCCTATGGATATCACTTTTTTCCCTTTTGATCATCAAAACTGTTCCCTGAAATTTGGTTCCTGGACATACGACAAAGCTGAAATTGACCTTCTAATCCTTGGATCTAAAGTGGATATGAATGATTTTTGGGAAAACAGTGAATGGGAAATTGTTGATGCTTCTGGCTACAAGCATGATATAAAATACAACTGTTGTGAGGAGATATATACAGATATAACCTATTCTTTTTACATTAGAAGATTGCCGATGTTTTATACCATTAATCTGATCATCCCTTGTCTCTTTATTTCGTTTCTAACCGTGCTGGTCTTTTACCTCCCTTCTGACTGCGGTGAAAAGGTGACACTGTGTATTTCAGTTTTGCTTTCTCTGACTGTGTTTTTGCTGGTAATCACAGAAACCATCCCATCCACGTCTCTTGTGATCCCCCTGGTGGGCGAGTACCTACTGTTCACCATGATCTTTGTCACCCTGTCCATTGTGGTGACTGTGTTTGTGTTGAACATACATTATCGCACTCCAATGACACACACCATGCCCGAGTGGGTGAAGACGGTTTTTCTCCAGCTGTTCCCCCAGATCCTGATGATGAAGAGGCCTCTGGACAAGACGAAGGATACAAGCTCAGATAAAAACTCCAGAGGCATTTCTGGTAGGCCCACCGAAGTCAATGTTGATAATCGCAGAGAGACCAAACTTCCTCAAGAATGCTGCCACTGTCATAAATCAAGGGAGCTTGCCACTCGCAGGAGAAGATTAAGTCATCAGCCTTTACAATGGATGACTGAAAATTCAGAGCACTCGCCCGATGTCGAAGATGTAATTAACAGTGTACAATTCATAGCAGAAAACATGAAGAACCAAAATGAAACAAAGGAGGTAAAGGCATATCTCCTCTAACCTGGCTTCCCTCTGCTGGCTTAGATCAGACCTAAGGTCAGATCTTGAGGGGGAGTTCTGTTCACAAGAGGCCCACAGAACATCACTCTAAGACCCAGCTCTATTATTATGCAGTTGTGGGTGAAGTGGCCTGGGGTTGGATGGAGTAAAGTTTAGCCTCAGAGCAAACTTCCACCTCCAGAAATGTTAACTCAGGTGAAATCTAGTTAAAATAAACATTCAAGAGACCTTGGTTAATGAAACGGTTTCTTAAATACAGTGGCAGATGAAATTCCTGCAGAGCAGCCGGCAGTCTGAGCCTGGTGGGGACAGGCAGAGTGAGTCCTCCACAATTCCAATCCCACTTGTCCTTCTTGAGAGGGATTTAGGTGCTTATTGAATGAACCTCAGGGATATTCTTAGCATCAACATATTCTGCTCTTGCTGTCCAGAGTCTAACTATAGCAGCACGGACCTCCCCCAGCCTCCAAAGAGAGAGCTCAATAAAATCACGCCAATTTTCCATATCCTAAGGATGACTAGCTGAGGGCATCTGGAAACTTATGCCGGTTGTCTGGGTTTGACCTCCTACTGCAGCCGCCGGCATCCATATCTCCTAGTGAAAGGATGTTTTGAGACCTGAAGTCCACACTGTTGGTGCAGGGGAGGATGCTGTGACGGCAAGTCACAAGTGAGAGCTGGAGGGATGCATCATGGGGCAAGTGAGCCTAGAACTGTGCTTTCATGGTGACATCTTCATAAAATCAAGAGAAGGTTGTTGTTGACTTAAACACCACCAAGTAGGGCCCTCAAGACATAACCTGAGACGTTAAGTCCTGGGCATGAGTTGGAGGTCAGGAACTGGAAGGATGTGAGAAATGCACATTTGCACTCTCCACAACCAGCATGACTTTGAGGTCTAGAGGGCTGCCTATCCCTGATAAGGGGTCCTCCATCGTTCCTCACGTCCTACACTCCCTGCCTCAAACCCATTTGCCAGACCTGCCAAGGTGTCAGAATATCGAGTGGTGCCAATGACAAAAGCTGAGTTGTCTGACAAGCTTTCTTGGGAGCGGTTTTTGCAGGAAGAGCCCTTTGTCACCTGCGGGACCCTGCTTACTCTCTGGCCATCTGCATGAGGCATTACAGAGGCATGTGTATCCACCCTCTTCAGACAAGAGTTCTTCTATGACCTATATAGGCAACACGGGTTAACCACGATAAAACCAATATTTGCTTTAAAAATTGCCAGGGAAGTCTTCTTTGAAAAGGAAGCAGCTTATTTATGAGACAGTGTATTACCTATGGTGTCAGTTTTTTAACATCGCTTTGACTTTTTGTTTGCCTTTCAGGTAGAAGATGACTGGAAATACGTAGCCATGGTGGTGGACAGAGTGTTTCTTTGGGTGTTTATAATTGTCTGTGTGTTTGGAACTTCAGGGCTATTTCTACAGCCACTACTGGGGAACACAGGAAAGTCTTAAGGATGCATTTTCCCTTTATCTTTTGAAACTCACAGATGCTGTACCTGTTCTATGTTCCCTACCACAAGGAAAGGGACATAAAGCTTTCCACCCAAGTCCCCCATCTACTGAAGCTGATGGCTGAATGGACAAAGAGGACTTTATTGCAAATTGGGCGGCTGAATGCCCGCCTATGTAGCACAGAGGACATTTACGATGTTTGATCACCTTGGAGCCCGGAGGTGGTGGCACCCACAGGCTTCTCTTCTCTGTACATGTTTGACTTCCAGGAACACGAACGAGCATACAGCGAGCCATGTAATCAACATCAAGCCATGCTGAAAAGGGATTCTCTTGTACCTCCAGTTTATGCTGCTCATCAGTACACCGACACATGGCAGACACAAAACTCCAGAGCTTGTACCTTGCTGGCAGCTACAGGGCTCGGGAACTGTTATGTGCTGGCTTTCTTACACATGCCTCTGCATTTCAACCCTGCACGTCAACACTATTTGATATATTAATTGGCAAAGAGTAATAGCAGGTAGTGAGAGTCTATCTCAGCAGGCTGCATCAAATTAGCATTCATCTGGTAAGAAACTTGAGTGGTAACCCAGCCCTGTGCAAGGCATTGCAAGTGAAACAGAAATGGGTTCTGTCCCCAGGTGCTTGCAGCTTTTTAGGAAAAGTCATAAACAGAAAGATCTCCAAGACCAGATATTATGGGAATGTAACTAAAGCAGCCCAAAATAGGCTGGGTGGCCGTGCAAGGCTGAGGCAGGCTTTGCGGCAGGTCAGAGAGGTGTCTGTTCTGGCCAGCAATTTCCATGTGTTCACTGTAGCTGAGACTGCAAACACAGTTATTTCTTCTGTAAGAAATTGTGATCTGTACCTTTCCGAGCAATACCTTTTCCGAGAGGGAGCACCCTAGGGATTCTGTTTTATTCCACTCTAATTTATCTTCATATTCGTTGGATAAACATTATTGTCATTTTAAAGATGTGTTTCAAAGCAGAAAAAAATGAATCTACCCTAACAAAGAAACTAATTTCATTTTGGCCTTTTCCCATCTCATCCTCTTCTATGTGCACCCATAATTTTACACGTCAATTTTACTTTCCCATTTTGTATGTTGCTGTTTTCTCAAAACGTGTCAAGGGACATTTCTCCTTGATGTTATGTAGTCTTCAATGTGCGGTGTCCTGACTTGCGGGGGTTGGCGGAGCGGGCGGTAGAAGAATTTTCACCCAAGCCAGAACAATGGAGATATAGGTTTATTGAATACAGGGCAAGGGAGCAGGACAGCAGAGGAGAGACTGTCTGCAAGGAGGCAGTGGGTAGTGGCCGTGTTTAAAGCCGGAAGATGAGGAGGAATGGGGAACATATGAAATTTTCTCTTTTTTCTTACCTGTGCCTGGTTGTCAGTAGCCCATTGGTCAGTTAGGGCCTATGGCTATTTTGAGGTGGGTCGCTTCATGAGTCTGTTTGCGTTCAGGCTGGTGGTCCCCATGGGCCTTTTCCCTTGCTCAGGTTTCCATTGCTCAAGCCTGTTGTCTAAAAGCAGCCTCTACATTGAAGTATACTTTTTATGATTGCATAATCTCCATTGTGTTGATACCCCATAACTTCTATTATCTCATGTTCATTCTTCCTTGTCTTCCTTACCCAGGAGTGTAAGTCTCTCTGTGGTGTACCGGGCAGAGGTCTTGAACTTGGACTTGAGCTCTGTTTTAAAGTATGTTTACTGCCTCTCAGGGGCGCCTGGGTGGCTCAGTCAATTAGGCAACTGGCTTCAGCTCAGGTCATGATCTCACAGCTCTGTGTTCACGCCCCGCATCGGGATCTGTGCTGACAGCTTGGAGCCTAGAGCCTGCTTTGGATTCTGTGTCTCCTTCTCTCTTTACACCTTGCCTACTCACACACACTCTCTCTCTCTCTCTCAAAAATAAATAAACATTAAAAAAAAATTTTTTTAAAGTATGTTTACTGCCTCTCTTATTTGTGATCATATCTATATTTTATCTTTCTTTCTTACAATGGTTTAGTTTACTTAATACATTTCTTTTTTACTATTATTAAGCCAAATCAATATTTCATATCATTGTTTAAAAAGTTTTAATTGTGGTAAAATGTGCACAACGAAATTTACTGTCTTCACCATTTTAAGGATACGGTTCAGTGGCATTAAGTACATTCACCGCGGTGTATAGCCTTCACCACCATCCATCTGCAGAACTCTCTTGTCTTATAAAACTGAAAGTCTGACCCATTAACAGCAACTCCTCATCCCATCCCTCCTCCCTGCCCCTGTCAACCCCATTCTACCTTGTCTCCACGAATTTGAGTACTTCAGGTGCCGTATATGAGTGAAATCATACCCCACTTGTCTATTTGTAACTAGTTTATCTCACTAAGTATAGTCTTCAAGGTTTGTCCGTGCTGTAGCATGTGTCAGATTTCTTTGCTTTAAAAAAAATAATTAATTTTAATTGAAGTACAGTTGATGGAAGAATTTATTTGTTTTTTGAGGCTGAATAATATTCCATTGCATGTATTTACAACATTTTGTTTGTCTACTCATCCATCAGTGGACATTTGAGTTGCTTCTTCCTTTTGGCTGTCATGAATAATGCTGCTATGAACAGGAGCCTACAAACATCTCTGAGCTTCAGTTCTTTGGAGTATATGCCCAGAAGTAGTATTGTTGGATTATATGGCAGTTCGATGTCTAATTTTTTAAAGAACTGCCATGGTGTTTTTCCACAGTGGCTGCACCACTTCCCTGCCCACCAACAATGTACAAAAGCTCTATTTTCTCCATATCCTCACCAACACTTGCTAAGCTTTTCTGATTTTTTCCCCCTTTCTAGTGGCCATAGCTCTTTGTGGTTTTGATATGCGTTTCCCTAATCATTGTGATGTTGCGCATCTTTTCATGTGCTTATTGACCATTCATATTTCTTCTTCTTCCCCTTCCTCTTCCCCTCCCTCCTTTCATCTTCTCCTCCTTCTTCCCCCTCCCCTCCCCCTCCCTCTCTCCTTCCTTCTCCCCTCTTCCTCCTCTTCCCCTCCTCTCCTCCTCCTCCTCTTCCTCCTTTGCATATCCTCTTTGGAGAAATGCGTATTCAAGTCCTTTGCCCTTTTAAACATCAGGTTATTTGGTTTTTGCTATTGCGTTTGAGTTGTGGAATTCTTTATATATTCTGGATATTAACCCTTTATTAGATATAAACACAGAACTTACAAGAACTGCAAAGCAGGAAGATGGGAGGAAAGTGCTCCCAGCCAGGAGCAGGGACACCCTGATCGTGACTTCTTTACACATTCTTTTATACCTGAACGTACCTCAGACTTTGCAGCCCAACTTTCCAGAGTTTGCTCAGTGATCCTCAGAGGAGAGAGGATCTGGTGTTCACAAGTAAACAAACTAGCATACGCAAAAGAAATGAGATAAGCATGTGAATTAAAGGGAAGTCACAGCATTTATTCAGAAGAGCAAGGGAAGCAAGGATTGAAAATTCATAGAGGGTCATAAAGACAGTAAAACATTAAAGAACGCTTGTTAACTGAGATTTTTGACTTTTAGGATTGACCTGATATTCTCTTGGTTATGTAATTTCATTATCAATACCCGTGTGTTTGTGTGTTCACACAAGTGCACATGCATGGGAGTGTCTTTGTGTATCTGAACTATTAGATCAGTGACTTTTAGGGATGGAATGGAACTCATAGGTTATTTAGCCCTACTCTTTTTTTTTTTTAATCTCAAGTGTAGCGTGACTTGCCCATGATCACACAGCTAACAGATTCCACATCTCCTGACTCTTAAACCATTTCCCTGCCCCAGTATAATTCAGTCACTCTTGTGAGAAGGGAATAGGAAAAAATAGTAAATCACCTGAGGTGGCCCTCTTCTCCCAACATCCCTGCACTAGCCTTACTGAGCAGAGAAAGCCTCTCTCATGGACAATAATCAGAAGGAGGAAGACATGTCATGTACGTGAAATGGAAAATCAGGCTAAAGAGGTGAAGCTGCACATACTCTCTTATTTGGGGACGGTCAGGACTATTAGGATCAAAGTTTAATGGTGACAGGGGATATAGGTATGGACTTGGGTCCTTGACCTTCCGATTGTTTTGAGAAAAACTGAAAATCCAGCTTTTTACATAAAATCTCCTAGTTTTAAAGTATGGCAACTAAATTAAGAAACAAGAATAAAGTCGTGGTGTTAGCCAAACAAGACCCATGTGCTGGGCCAGGAGTTTGTAGCAGGGACGTGAGTTTGCAGCTTTGACCTAACAAACTGGTGCTTGATTCCTTCTGTTGGGTGCGGTCATACCAAAGGAGGCTAAGTCCTGGTGGAGGGAAGTGTGAGGAGTGGGAAGGGAAGGGGTGGACTCAGAACCGTGGAGGCACCCTCTGAGGGCCTAGGGAGCATCTACTTGGGATGTCTCCACCCAGCCCCATCCTCCCGCAGGGCCTAGGGAATGTCTTTCCTGTGTAGCGGGGGTGGGGGGGTTGGGGGGGTAGGGGTGGGGTGGGGGGGTTGGGGGTTGGGGTTAGGGGTGGGGGGGTTGGGGGTGGGGGATTTAGGGGGGACAGGGCAAGTAGCACAGGGGAGCAATGTCTGAGCATCTCTCTTTGCCCATCTCCCCTTTGATTTATTTTATTTATTTATCTTTAATTAAATTTTTAAAATGTTTTTTGTTTATTTCTGAGAGAGAGATACAGTGTGAGCAGGGGAGGAGCAGAGAGAGAGGGAGACACAGAATCTGAAACAGGCTCCAGGCTCTGAGCTAGCTGTCAGCACGGAGCCTGATGCGGGGCTCCAACCCACGAACCGTGAGATCATGACCTGAGCCGAAGTCGGATGCTTAACCGATTGAGCCACCCAGGCGTCCCAGATTTTTCTTGTTATACATTCGGAATGAACATTTCTTTGCTTTAAAGTTACTTTTGTCATTACTATCTTTGGGTTATTGGGGTATATAGATATTTATGCTTTTCCATATTTGAAAAGCTGTATGTACACATATAAAAGTTTGACCTTTGCTGTATTTGTGTCTGGACAAAAAGAGGCTTGCTGCGGAAAGTGTTTCTTGCAGTACTTATCAAACTTTAAAACTGCATTTGAATTTAAATGCATTTTCCTAAGATTAGCATTGTCATTTATCTAGCAAACTAATGAGTTAGATACAGTTCAGTAATGAGTTAAAGTCAACAGTGTTCTCAATAAAGGAAAGAACAGTCATGTGCCCTTTGAATCCACATCTGGTCAGGGATTTCAAGCAGGGAATCCTTGATTTTCATCACAGTGTCTCCTCGCAAATCCTGTTCTAAAGCAGTGATAAAAAGATTGCATTTTCCCAAAGGAACAAAGTTATAGTTAGAAGTTGTGTGCTTTAAAAATTGTGAGACTCTCCAAAGTACAGAATTTTAGAGCAGGAGAGAACCATGAGTCTTAACCTTTAATTAATTGACGAGGAAACTAATCCCCCCCCCCCCAAGAGGGCAAGTGACCCACCTAACGCTCCACAGCCCACACAGCAGCGAGGAAATGGCTTGTCTAGAGCCCTTGGGTGGTAGTGCCTTGTCTTCCACTTCACCATGTTGTTTGGCTCTTAAAAACCCGGTAAAATGTGCAGAAAAGTAACAAGTATGTAGATCAAGCAAGGAGCTCATTGTTCCATGAAGTGTGTGCATAGCGCATAAAAATATAATTCTGTGGTATAAAATTTGGTATATATTGAAAACGAAACTGACCATGTTAAATATTACTGACACACTTAAAGTAGATATAAATGTGATTTCTGTTTTGGAATTTATACCTGCTTTGAGGGTAACTAGAATGGCATGAATCTCTCTAAGAAAGCAGTCCGGGCTATTTGAAAAAATTCCATTATTTCTGTTCACTATGGTCTGTGTTTGTTCTAAAATGAAAGTGGATCTGGGCACTTCGTAGGCCTAGGAAAGGGAGCCTCACAAGACAGCCAGGACAGTTAAAGAAACCATTTCCAGGAGGAGAGATCAAGGGCACAAGGGAGGGAGAGATTAGGTGTGAAAAGGACAAGGGCTAATTGGTACGAACAGGGTGGAGATCTGACTGGAAGCAGGAAAAACAGTTTGGAAACCAGTGCAAGTGTCCAGGAGCCTATAAACAGCCAGGCATGAAGAGCCCCATCAGAGCGGATGTCCTGCCAAATCTAACAACATATGTGGATCATTGACTTCAAGATGTGCTTCCCCTTTTTTTGGTCAATAATTAGCAATTTTATTCCTAACAGAATCATCTCTCCAGTCCTTATTGTGTCCAGCATCCACCAGCCTGTAAAGTCAAGATTAATCAGAGTCCTTAAAATAGTTCCACATTCTTCTCAGGGCATAATGTCACCTGTGGTGATTCTTCAGTGTCCTAGTTTCCATATACAATTGGGCATATATATTAAGGATTGAGAGTTAGAAAGGATCAATATAAACTGGCTGACTGGGGGCTTCTGGGTGGCTCAATCGGTCAAGCATCTGACTTCAGCTCAAGTCATGATCTCCCAGTTCGTGAGTTCGAGCCCTGCATTGGGCTCTGTGCTGACAGCTCGGGGCCTGGAGCCTGCTTCAGATTTTGTGTCTCCCTCTTTCTTTGCCCCTCCCCTGCTAATGCTCTGTCTCTCTCTGTCTCAAAAATAAATAAAAACTATTAAAAAAAACTTTAAAATAACTATAATTAGTATCCCCTCAAGTTATTATAGAAGATACGACATCCAAAAATAAGAATTAGAGTTCTTGGAAATCAAATACATGATTCATCCGTAAACACACAAAACCTCACCTTGGTAGGAGGGCTGCAAAGCAGAGTAGACAATGACTGAATATCAAATTAGTTAGTAGTATCATCAAGCTGACAATGTAAACAATTAAAGAAATTAAAAGTAATGAGAGAAGAGTTAATAAATTAATAAACATGGAAGACAGATCCAGGAGTACCGAGATCCTTTTATTAGAAATTTCAAGAAGAGAGGAGGGAGCAAATAGAGCTAAAAGAGTTAAGAGAAGAATATTTTCATGAGTGTTAAGTTTGAAGATAAAAACCGAGAGGGAGAAAGAGAGAGAATGAGAGAGAGAGACAGAGAGACAAAACCCTATATTTAGATACATACAGCATTTGGGTGACATTTTTTCTTTTTTATTTCAGGTGACATTTCTAAAGTCCAAAGATAAAAAGAAAAGTCCAAGAGTTTCATCAAGGAAGAAACAGGAATCTATAGGAACAAAGAATAAGAATCAACTTTCACCATACATCTCATCTAAAACATGGGATATTGTAGAATAATATCTTCACAATTCTGAGGATGAAAGATTTTGAACTCAAAATTCCATGATCAGTCAACCTATCCTATGAGGGCCGAATATATTACAATGTCAGAAATGCAAGGATTCAAGAAGGTAACCACACACAAAACTTTCTAAAAGAATTGCTTGGAGATGTATTCCTCTGAGAGAAGGAAATGAATCAGGTAAAGAGGAAAACAGGAGAAAAAATGTGCCAAACCAAGAAATGAGTAAAACAATTATTTCTTTATAATGTGGTTGTATACAAAATATATTGTCAATAAATTATTCAGAGGAAAGAGACACGTAACATAAAACGTTAATAACCTGGAACTAAAATTCTGGGTGATTTAGACAAAATATAAAAGATGATAAAAGAAGAGGGGAAGAGAAAGTGCTAAAGGAATTGTTTAATTTCAAGAGTGGTGGCTACGGGCATTACATCCCAATGCCAATTAAAAGAAATTTGAATAGTTCATAGCAGCACTCTCCACAATAGCTGAAACATGGAAAGAGCCTAAGTGTCCATCAATGGACGAATGGATCAAAAAGATGTGGTTTATCTATACCATGGAATACTACATGGCAATGAGAAAGAATGAAATCTGGCCATGTGTAGCAACATGGATGGACCTTGAGGGTGTTATGCTGAGCGAAATAAGTCAGGCAGAGAAGGACAAATATCATATGTTTACACGTATAGGAGGATTAGGAGGAACTTGATGGAGGAACAAGGGGGAGAAGAAGGGCGGAAATGGTGGGGGAAAGGGAGAGAGGCAAACCATGAGAGACTCTTGAATGCTGACAAAAACTGAGGACTGATGGATGTGGGGGGGAGGGGGGATGGGCATGGAGGAGGACACTTGCGGGGATGAGCACTGAGTGTTATGTGGAAACTAATTTGACAATAAACATTTGTAAAAAAAAAATTTGAATATGTTTTAATAGAAATGGGTACATAATTTTCAAACCAGTAAAGAAGGGAACATACAAATACAGTCAGGGCGGAAAAGGAACAACAACAAAAAAAAAAGAACAAGAAAACATTACACAGAAAACACAAAACAAAATGGCATGAATAAGACTAAACATCTTGGTGATAACAATATATGTGAAAGGGTGAAACCCCGCAGCTGTAAACTGTTTACGAGAAGCATGCCCCAAACCAAATAGTCCAGAAGGGATTAAGATTTAAATCTTGGAAAGAACAATTATTTCAAGCTAAAATCCAGGATTTGGCAGTAGCAATTTGGGAGGGCAAAAAGCATCTGAACAGACTCTCCGTGATGAATCTTCGAGAGGAAGATTCTCTCCCAGCGGGGCAGAGAGACACATAGAAACAGAAAGGAGGCCATCTTGGCAATAATTTACTTTTTTTAATTTTTTTTAATTTATTATTTCTAGGAGAGAGAAAGAGTGAGCAGTGGAGGGTCAGAGACAGAGGGAGTCACAGACTGAAACAGGCTCCAGGCTCTGAGCTGGCAGTCAGCACAGAGCCTGACGTGGGGCTCGAACCCACGAACCGCGAGATCATGACCTAAGCGAAAGTCGGATGCTTAACGGACTAAGCCACCCAGGCGCCCCGGCAATAATTTATTTAACACCAAAATCAAAGGCAACAAAAGCAAAAATAAGCAAGTGGGGTTGCATCCAACTAAACTTCTCCACAGCAAAGAAAACCATCAGCAAAGTGAAAAGACAGCCAATGAAATGGGAGAAAATATTTGGAAACCATGTATCTGATAAGAGTTGAGTATACAAACTAACAAACTATACAAAGCAGGGGCCTGAGGGGCTCTGCTTTATTTAAACCCGACTCCCTCCAGGGGCAATCATGAATTTACTGTGGGTGAACCCACATTTACCAGTGTTCGGTTTCCCTGGGGACAGCGCGGGCCCTTGCACTAAGCTCATGCATTTGGATACCGTATGTACGTGCTAGCTGGATGTCAGTTCTGAGGTGTGGTTTTTGTCTTTATGGTATTTTACATTGCTCTGGGGACGTGCTCCTAGTGGGAGCTATGTAGCCACATCTTCAAAGCAGGAGTAAAAATCAGAACAGAGCCTGTAACTGACACTATCAGAAAGAGCCACAGAAAGATTCGGTCCAGAACTTGGGCGACGAACTTCCAGTCCTGTACTACCTGCAAAAGAGATAAAAGATGCCTTCCATTCAAAATGCAGGGCAACAGTTCTGCATTCATTTCAAGGGAATGGAAAATAGTAATATTCGGATGTACAGCACTTCATTTGTCAAAATGCACCTAACACGTCGCCTGCAACGGAGGCTCAGATGCTCCCCCGCGACTTCCCTAACAGTGCCTGAAGGAGACAGCCTGTAAACACCTTCATCAGCACGGGAGACGTAAAATAGGAACAACAGAATCATTTATGCGTTGGAGGACAATACTGATCCAAATGGGAAAAGACCGTTTTTTCCACAAATAAAAAGCCAGCATCTCTCACTACCATCTTCCTGGTTTCATATATGAAATGAGTCACAAACTGATAAGTTAAGAATTTTCATGGCCAAATATTACAAGCCTTCTTTTTGTCCACTCCATATGTGGGTATGGCTGCTTTTATCTCTGGAATGCCAGAAAACTGCCTGGAGGAGAAGTGACCAGGAGATGGCAGGAATCTGTAAGGGAGAGGGGAGATCTAGTCCTTTGGAGGAAGGGAAGTTGGGGGAGAGTGAGGAATAGGCCCGTAAGAGCAAGGTCAGAGCAGCAATAAGTTGAGAGGCCAGGGAAGTCTGAAGAAGAGGTGCCAGTTTTCTTCTTCTGAAGGAGAAGCAATGTCCCATTTCTACCCTATGGGGGTTTTGTGAAGATGGAGTAGAACAGGAGTTCTAGAAGGGACACGGGCACTGAGGTAGAACCCGAATGCATTCTGCACACATAGAGGTTTAGGAATAAAACCTTGGGGGAAAAGAAAATACAAAAAAGATGTGTGTAAGGTGTCAACCTTAAGTGGTGGGATTATTAATGATTTTAATTTTCCTGTTTATATTGTTGTATTTTCCAAATTCTGTACCCTGATAATGTGTTACTTTTATCATTTAAAAAAAGCTAGTTGAGTCCTTGAATTAGAATTTTTAAAAGATGTAAAGAAACAACAACAAACAGCTCTTAAGAATAGCTGAAGGGGCACCTGGGTGGCTGGTCGGTTAAGCCTCCGACTCTTGATTTTGGCTCATGTCATGATTTCATGGTCGTGAGATTGAGCCCTGCATCTGGCTCTACTCTGAGCTTGAAGCCTACTTAATATTCTCTCTCTCCCATTACCCCTCCCCTGCTTGTGCTGCCTTGTAAGCATGTGCTCTCACTCTCTCTCTTTAAAAAAAAAAAAAAAAAAGAAGCTGATATTCTGTTCTATAGCAGCGGATGAAAAACAACACAACATATTCTCAGTAGAGAATATGCTAGGTAGTGTCTGGATAAAGTATAGAAAGATATTCTTTAAAAAAGTTCTCTCAGGGGCACCTGGGTGGCTCAGTTGGTTAAGCGTCTGACTTCAGCTCAGGTCATGATCTCATGGTTCGTGGGTTCGAGCCCCGCATTGGGCTCTGTGCTGACAGCTCAGAGCCTGGAGCCTGTTTCAGATTCTGTGTCTCCCTCCCTCTCTCTCTGCCCCTTCCCTGCTCATACTCTGTCTCTCTCTGTCTCTTTAAAAAATAAATAAGCATTAAAGACAATAAAATAAGTAAAATTTTAAAAATTCTTTCATAATTTTGTTTATGGGATCAGGCTCTTCTCGCTAATTTTCACTGATCTTAGAGTAAAATAATTGAACCCTATAAATGGCCTAAAATTTGTTTTAAGCATTAGGTAAGATATGAATCCAGAACTGTTTTGAGTCTGAAATCCACACATGCCTCACTTTTTTTTAAACCGTAAGCCAAATAACTACATCCTCCCCACCCCCAACCCCTAAATATCTGTTGGAACACTGTATGTTTACATTAATCCCCAAATCCAATTTTGTTCTTTTATTTCCAAACACTGTGGATATAAATAAATTTCATTGCACTAAAAGTGAGAGATAAATTACCAGAGACCAGGATACCCAACCTAAAATGTAGAATTAAATTGTTTTAAATAGGGAAGCCTGGGTGGCTCAGTCAGTTGAGTGTCAGGCTTCGACTCAGGTCATGATCTCACAGTTCATGAGTTCAGGCCCCACACTGGGCTCCTTGATAGCAGTGCAGAGCCTGCTTTGGATCCTTTGTCTCCTTCTCTCTGCCCCTCCCCTGCTCTCTCGCTCTCAAAAATAAGTAAACATTAAAAAATTATTTTAAATAAGATCAAGTCTAAGGATAAGGAATGGTGCTTAATCTATACTTGCTTCACTTTTGCTCATTCTGTTTCTGTGAACTGCTTCCTAAAATTCTTAAATTCTTATTGATGTCAGGGCTTGTTTTACATTTTACACGTGAAACGCAGAGAGCTAATAATGTCACATTTAAAAAATGACAGCATCTTGTTGTAAATAGATGTGAGAATATTGGTTCTTGCCCACTCCAATGGAAGCAGGAATGAATACCAGTGTACTCACCTGGTTGATGAAATGCTCTTTCTTCACATGCCTTGAGATGTATCTGATGGAATCAGCGGCCTTTTCCAAGAAAGCAACAAGAACTTTTTCTCCATCGCTAATCTGTCTTTGTTTCCTTTTTTCTAGAACTTTACCCTTCACCACTGGTTGACTTTCCTCCTTGTCTGGGAAAGAGTAGCGATCCATGTGGTCCTGCATACAAAGCAATTTAGGAAGTTTTTGCAGAAAGAGCCTCTTAACCCAGGGGGCCATGGGATGGTAAGTGGAAGAAGATCTGTGGTGAACATTAATCACAAAAACAGTAACGATAATCGACAGGGTTACGAAAATCATAATGAACAGCAGGTACTCCCCAATGAGAGGAATGACTTTTGAGGAAGATGGAATTATTTCCTCAATTACTAAAAGAAAAACTGTCAGGGAAACCAGAACAGAGGTTGATAGGGAAAGCTTTTCTCCTTCATCAGAAGGCAAATAGAACACGAGCACTGTCAGAAAAGACAGCCCCAGGCAGGGGATTATCAGGAAGAGGGTGTAGAACAGGGGCAGGCGGCGCAGGACAAAGGAGTAAGTGATGAACGGATAGGAGTAAGAGCCGTCTCTCCTGTTGCCCTTCATCCCTTTTGCATTGAGTATTTCCCATTCTCCGTTATCAAAGAAGTCTTTTCTGTCAACATTTTCATTTATCAAAACGAGATCAACCATGGTACCATCGTAAGTCCAGGATCCAAATTTCATGGAGCAGTTCTGTCGGTCGAATGGGAAAAACGTGACGTCCATGGTGCACGAACTTTTGTAACTGGCGGGAGGGGTCCAAATGACAGTGCCGTTAGATCTCACTATAACTTTGGTCATGAGGGAGCCTTCGAAACGTCCATCTGCACTGTGGTAAAAGCAGATGAACACTGATGAGTTGGGAGTTTGCCCACGCTTCTACTATTTGTATTTATTACTTTCCTACTATAGTGTCAAACAATATTTCAAGAAGAATCAGTTCTCTTCTTACTTAAAGTTGTACATTTCTCTTAATTATTTTAAGAGGCTAGGCTTTGCCATCTCTAGTCCTAATCCAATCAGTGTATTTTTCTTCTGGGATACTTACTTTTCAAAGAGAACTATGTCAGGAAGCCAGAGAGATTCCGATGGAACCTTAATTGAATGAATTCCACCATATTCATCAGGATTCCAGCGTAACTTGTGGTCTGTCCATTCCTGCATTAAATTAGCATACTGAAATTTTAGTCTGAAAATTCGGTGTATTAGACTTTGGAATCTTCAAGTTTATGTTCATTTACTAATCTGGTGCTTTATTTAAAACAGGGAAATTCATCCATTTTAGATCTTATGACCTTATCTGTAGCTCAAGATACAGGTTGAGCCCCACTGGCCTCTGATCTTGCCCCGGCCCACACAATCCTCCTACCTGGGATTTCCAAAATTGCCATATCCATTCCCAATGGAGAGTTTGAACAAGAAACTCAATCAATAGATTGATCTATTTTTTCCAACCTATTTTCTCTTAAGAAACAAAAGAAAAGCAATAGTAGATCTGACTCAGTCTATGCTAGGAGAGTTGGCCCAGTAATATTTTAATCTCATATAATGGGTAGAAACAATTTTTAATATCGCTCGAGAGTCTTGAACAAACATCCACCCAGTATGTTAATATGAAACATTCAGTATCCATTGATTAGTCTTGATAACATAACTTTATTCCAATAAAAAAATAGTTTCCAAGAAATTCCTTTTAAGTTCTAATCTGAATTTATTTGGTGACCACCCAATTGCAGTTTTAAATTATATTCCTAATATTGTTAGCCTCCAGATACTTACATATTTTTCCTCATAATGCAATGAAGTCATTTCTTTACAGGAGCTAATGGACCCAGATTAACAAACCTGACCACTAATTGATTGGATTATGAAGGTCAAGAGGATGATGTATGGATGATCCAATTATAGCAAAAGGGGACTTTCTTAAAAAGATTTTGGATCCAGAATCTTATAAAATCTGACCTGAAATTAAATTCTTCTATCCCATTTTTTCCTCGTGTAGACAACTGAGTAATGATGTAGGATAATATGAAATGACATTTCAGAAAGTTTGAAGGGTGTGCCCGGTGTGAGGCTTCCTGGAGCCGAGTGATGCCAATATAGTCATTAAAAAATCAGGAGACAGCAGATGGGCAACTTCACTAGATGGTAACATATTGAAATATGCATGATGCCTGAAGAAGTATGAGACCGTACACCCCAGATGAGACATTGTCTATCTTAGACTATATTTGTGAGGCTTGATCCTTGGAAAACAAATTTAAAAGGATATGGTTCATTAAAAATCTACAATCTAAAGGATAAAAGATTGCATGACTATTTATGGAAAACCATGCATATGAAGACTGACAGTTTAATAGCCCAAACTAATAAAGTATTTACCATGTTTACTTGGTACTCACAGACTTCTCTCTTTTTAATTTCCTCTGCCCATTTTGAAAAGCAAATGCACTTTCCTTCCTATGAATAATTTGTCCCCTGCTAGGAGACTTATACTACCAGCAGCAGGTCTGAATCTCAGAAACGTTCAAGGGAACCCAGAATAGGACTTTTTTTTGTTTCCCTTTTGCTTTCTTTACTTTTCAAAAATTTACTTACAATAACATTCACCCCTTTTGTGTATGTTGTCCTACGCAAACAGTTGTATAATCACTGATGCCATCAAGACGCAAGAATGGCTCTGTTGTCCAAAACGTGTTCCTTGTGCTGCTCCTTCATAACCCATTCTTCCACCCCCAACCCCTGGAAACCACCGATCTAGTTTCTGATCCTATAATGTTGCCTTTGGTCATATAAATGAAGTCATACAGGAGAGAGCCTTTCGATCCAGATTGCTTTTATTGACCATATAAAATTTGGGATTCTTCTATGTTATATTAGTGATTTGTTCATTCTTATTAGTGAGTAATATTCCCTTGTATGACTATATACCACAATTTATCATTCTTCTCCAAGGAGGATATTTGGATTCTTCCAGTTTTTAAAAGAAAATTTTTTTAAACATTTATTTATTTTTCAGAGGGACAGAGTGGGGGAGGGACAGAGAGGGAGCAAGAGGGAGACACAGAATCTGAAGCAGGCTCCAGCCTCTGAGCTGTCAGCACAGAGCCTGACATGGGGCTTGAACTCATGAACTGAGTCAAAGTTGGATGCTTAACTGACTTAGCCATTCAGGTGCCCATGGATTCTCCAGTTTTTTAATGATTACATATAAAGCCCTGGTAAACATTTTGTGCAGTTTTTTCAGTGAAAAACATTCTTTCCTTCTCTTGGGTAAATACAGGAGTGGGATGGGTGGGCCATATAGTAAGACTATTTGTTTTATATATTTTTTAATGTTTTTGTTTATTTCAGAGAGAGAGAGAGACAGCGTGAGCAGGGGAGGATCAGAGAGAGAGGGAGACACAGAATCCAAAACAGGCTCCAGGATCTTTGGATTCTTCCAGATTAAAAAAAAATTTTTTTTAAACATTTATTTATTTTTCAGAGGAACAGAGCAGGGGAGGGACAGAGAGGGAGCTAGAGGGAGACACAGAATCCAAAGCAGGCTCCAGGCTCTGACTAGCTGTCAGCACAGAGCCCGAAGCAGGGCTTGAACCCATGAACCGTGAAATCATGACCTGAGCCCAAGTCGGACACTCAACTGACCGAGCCACACAGGTGCCCTGACATTTTTTTTTTTTTATGTTTATTTATTTTTGAGTGAGAGAGAGTGAGAGAGGGGAAGAGAAGTAGGGGGACAGAGGCTCTGAAGTGAGCTCAGCACTGACAGCAGAGAGCCTGATGCAGGGCTCAAACCCACAAACTGAGATCATGACCTGAGTGGAAGTTGGATGCTTAATCAACTGAGCCACCCAGGAGCCCTAGTAAGTGTATGTTTAACTTTATATGAAACTGTCAAACCATGTTCCAGAGTGGCTGTATCATTTTACATTCACACTAGCAATGTAGGAGAGTTCTAGTTCTTTAGTGTTCTCCAGTACTTAGTATTGCCTCAGTTTTTATTTTAATTATAATAGTTATGAAATGGTATCTCATTATAGTTTTTAATATGCTCTTTCCTAATGACCAATGATGTTGAGCATCTTTTTGTGTGCTTATTTGCCACCAATATATCTTATTTGGTGAAGTGGCTGTTAAATCTTTGGCATATGTTTTAATCAAGCTGTTTGTTTTCTTATTAGTGAGTTTTTAGACTTCTTTTATGTATTCTGGATAAAAGCCCTTCATCAAATATTTGACTTGCAAGCATTTTCCAACAGTCTGTGGTTCCTTAATTCTCTAAACAGTGTCTTTTACAAGACAGACATTCTACACTTTGATGAGGTTTATTTTACCAATTTTATTTTTTATGAATTATGTCATATCTAAGAAATATTTGCCTAACTCAGGGTCACAAAGATTTTCACCTATGGTTTCTTCCAGAAATTTTATAGTTTTTTGGGCTTTACATTTAGATCTTAAAATCCTTCTTTTGGGGGCGCCTGGGTGGTTCAGTCGATTAAGCATCCACTTCTGCTCAGATCATGATCTCACAGCTTGTGAGTTCGAGCCCCACATCGGGCTCTGAGCTGTTAGCACAGAGCCTGGAGCCTGCCTCAGATTCTGTGTCCTCCTCTGCTTGTGCTCTGTCTCTGTCTCTGTCTCTTTCTCACTCAAAAAATAAATAAACATTAAAAAATAAAAATAAATAAAATCTTTATTTTGAGTTAATTTTTTTATTATGATATGAATATGGAATGAGGTTTTTGAGTTTTTTCACACATGGATGTCCACTTGTTTCTGCACCTTTTGTTGAAAAGATTAAACGTTCTCCATTGAATCACCTTTGCACATTTGTCAAAAATCAATTAACCGTATATGTGTGTGGGTCTATTTATGAGTTCTTTGTTCCATTTCATCAATCTGTGTCTCTCCTTTCCCCAGTACTACACTCTCTTAATCTCCATTGCTTTCTAGTAAGTTTTGAAATCATATAATGTGAGTCCTCCAATTGTATTCTCCTTTTTCAAAATTGTTTTGGCTATTCAAGTTCCTTTAGGTCTTCTTTGATGTTTTTTAATCAGTGTTTTGTAGTTTCAGCTTATAGACCCCACACATATTTAGATTTATACCTAAGTATTTAATTTCCGTTTGGTTGGTTTTTTGGTTTTTTGGTTTTTTTAAGAGAGAGATATAGCTGACAGCTATAAAGCTTATTGACTCTGTACTCAGACTAAAGCAGTAGCTTATTTCATCTTTTCCTCTGGTAAGAAAAGAAAATGAAGACAATAAAAACAGAAAAGCTGGCCTTACTGGCAAAATATCTGACAACAGGTAGAAGAATTATACAAATAAGCAGTGTACAAGTTCACTGACAAACAAGGGAAGAGAAATTATGAAATGAAGCTGAACTGTTATAACAGGAGCCTTTGGCTGACTTCCACTTAGGCAAGGCTTTGTTCGAGAAGGAAGTTGCATGTCAAGACATCTTCATAGAAAGAGGAGGCAAATGAACTAAGAAATAAAGTCAACACGTGCTGCCTGCTGCCTTCAATTCACCTGCCCTTCTCCTGGTAAAAGCACACCTCTCCTGTTTCCTCATGGAGAACCTCCTCACTGCACTGTCACCCACCTGCTGGGGGTGGGTCTGACTCTTCCTTCTGGCCCAGAAATGGGGCGGCACCTTACACCTGCCCACTGTGATCAGGGACGGCAGTAACCGAGTTGGAAACAATGACATACCATGAATCTTCTGGAACCACTGGAAACGAGGCTGGCCTTTCTCTTTCTTGAAAGAGAACTTGAACACAGGAAGCACTTTGAGGCTGGAGCCGATGTGGCCACCTTGCTGCCACTAGAGCAGGGCTGAGGTGAGAATGGGGTCACCCAGAGGATGAGGAGCCCAGAGACACACAGAGGGAACACTGGGCCCTGGGAAGGTTGCTTGAGCCCCTGGATCACACTGCATGTAAAACCAGCTTGTCCCTGGGCTTTCCAGGTTGTGAAAGCCAGTACATTCTATTTTTGCTTATGCCAGTTTGGGTTGCATTCTCTGTCACTTGCAACTAAAAAGTTCTTGGCTGATCCTGGGAGAACCTGAGCAGATCCCGAGCAGGCTGTGAGCCCCAGGGACAGGCACAAACGGGCAGACCCAGCTGGGACTGTGCTCTTATGCG